GGCTCGGGCGTCTAGGTCCCCCCCTGGAAGGGGGGCGGGACTCGGGCGCCTGGGGCTGGGCAGTAGCCCCATCCCCATCCCCCTCCCCAAGCCCCCAAATCCTCCTCCCAGACAGGGGAGCACCCAGGTGTCGACCCACCCCCAGCGGCCCTTTGCAAGGCCCCCGGGGGCCCGATCCCGCCACCACGAGGTGTCTGGCGCCCATTTCCTGGCTCCCCTCAGGCCCAAACCCACAACCAGCGGACTAGAGAACTGATTAGCGGCCCTCTCCCGGCCCCTGGTGGAGAGCACGGGCATCGCAGAGCCCTGGGTCTAGGCTGACGGCTGGGGAAGGAAACTTGAGTCACAGGCAGCCCCTTCCTCCCCAGGCTGCAACCAGCTCTGGGGTGCGACCAGCTGCATAGAACAGCAGCCAGGTCTGGGGTGAAGACCTGAATAAGATGCTTTTTGCACCCCCTCATGTACCCCAATTTGACCCCAGACCCCGCCCCCCCCACAAATGGCCAAGGCCAAGGGTGGTGAAAGAGCTGGTTTATTTACAGAGTAAACCTCATCGAGGTGACATTCGGCAGCATCTGTCTGCCCAGGGTAGGGGGCCAGGGGTTGTGCCATAATGGGGGCCCTGCGGGCGCCTTATTGCTTTAAGGAATAGATGGCTCTGCTGGAAGGGGGGTGGGGCTATGTAAATCAGGATAGGATATAGGAGGAAGGGGCAAATCAGGGGGAGGGGTATTGGGGTAAGGGCAAGGGGATAGAGCAATAAAAATGGGCAGGGTCTGAAGCTGGAAGGTGGCAAACCAGGGGGTGGGGCATGTAAATTAAATATGTATATTAAATGTGCAAATGAAAGCTATGCAAACTACAATGAGTAAATTAATATAAATATTAATAAATAGGGAAGTGTCCTTTGGCCAGAGGAGGAAAACCCAGAGTCCCCTCTGCTGGCCGCAGTACCCTGAGTTACCAGCAGAGGGTGGAGCAAGGGATTGTGGGATACTGGCAGGGGATACCCTGCAGGTGGGTTTCAACCCCATGAAGGAGGGTGCCACCCCTTTAAGAGGCAAGCAG